TCAGATCCACTGCCACTGAAACGAGCTGGACAATCTGATGTTCTACTGCTAGTGGTGTAGATCAGGAGTTTAGGAGTTTCTACAGCTTCCTGCAGATACCAGGCTAAATTAAGACAAGGTGGAAAACAGGACCCGCCGTACACGGCAGCACTGGTTCTACAGCTGATGGTGACTGTTTCTCCTGGAAGAGCAGATTTCACTGCAGGAGTCTGAGTCATAGTCACCTGACCTCTGGATTCTGGGAAAACAGAAAAAATAAACAAATGAACTAATTTACTGCATTTATATTCTTTATTGCTTTAGCCTGAAAATAATATTAAAAATAATGAAATAATAAAAACAATGTTCTATGGTACATTACCTTGAGTCCAGAAGATCAGAGCCCAGAGGCAGCAGCTCTCAGTCATGAAGTGTTAAACTCACAGGACTATAAACTCTCCCAGAGCACTGAAGCATGTGCTGATAATGCAAAGTCAACTCTCTCTATGGAAACTCTATTGGCTGCAGTGATCATGTGGCTACCGCTTTTTTTACCCTCTAAATCTGTCATACGCACAAATGGCTTAAATGTCTTTTAAACTTTTTAATATTTAGACATTTTTTTGCTGTCAGTAAAGCAGAATACATCCACACATATCTACACAGCATTGAAGTCTCAGAAAGCCATTATAGAGTTAAATAAACCTTTTCCAAACCTTTTTATAACATGTATATAGTGTAATGTGTAGTCAGTGCCTCTGATTAGATTACGGTGATGGTCATGCTTTATAGAACTCCTGTAGATGTGCTGAGGATCACCAGCTCTTTCATCAACAAAGCAATCCCACTACATTAACCTGCCTCCTCCAAAACTGATGGTGAAAATCACACATTCAGAGCTAAAGCACTATCTTGTTCTCTGATTGTGAGATCATCTTTAGACTGTCTGACCCAGTTTGACCCTCATGAGTCCCACTTTATTAAGTTGTATGTTGCTTTTGGACATAAAAGATTTTGGAATTGTCCTAAATATGGCCTTAATTTCTTAAATGAATATGGCTTTGAGGTTAAACCGAAAAAATGGAATGTGCTGAAGTGTTTGAGACCCCTGTTATAGTGCGATAAACAATAATAATATTATTAATAATAAATATAAATAGTAGTAAATGGTTCACAATTGCTGAAGAACACATTGTTGAGATCTCTACACATGGTAGAGACAAAAACTTCTTCAAGTCAGTTATCAGACAATAACTGCACCATGTTGTAGAGCAGCAGCTCACAATCCCAGTCCTGATCAACCCACACTATGAACATTTTTGTGCTTATACCAAGCTGGGAATGTTCCGTAAGGAGGTATATGTCAACCGTTCTTCCTAGCTGAGGTCAAACATTTAAAGACAAAAGCAGTTAAATGTTTATAGGTGTTCACCTCAGAGGTACCCTTACATTATCTTTATCAGGAAATTATTATTTAGCTTATATTCATTGAATAACAAAGTATGTTACTGGTGTCGCCTGTCAAATAAGGCTACTTTAGTTTATTGACAACAAAGGAATAAACTCAGGTATCCACATTACCAAATATGTTTTGTGAGTTCAGACTATTCCTTCAACATGTGGTGGTAATGTGAGGGAAGATTGATTGAAGGAGGGGGGAGAACTCTGAGAACTTGGGCGGGAGTTCTGGGCAGCTTCTGCCTGTAGCTAGAAATGAGACAACAGAATCGGGGGGGGATGAGAGGGACATAGTTAGGAAAACAAATTAACCAAAGGCTCGACTAAACAGGTAAGTTTTTAGCCTAGACTTAAAGATGGAGGCTGTGTCTGAGTCCCGAACACAGACTGGTAGGCTATTCCAAAGCTGGGGGGATTTGTATGAAAAGGCTCTTCCTCCTGACGTAACTTTATTTATTCTGGATACTAATAATGAGCAGCACCTCGTGATCTAAGTGGGCGTGTCGGTTGATAATAGGAAATAAGGTCACTGAGGTACTGAGGAGCAAGGCCATTCAAAGCTTTATATGTCAGTAGAAGAATTTTGTACTCAATGCGGAATTTAACTGGCAACCAATGTAAGGTACACAAAATTGGGCTAATGTGGTCGAATTTCCTGGTTTTGCTGAGAACTCTGGCTGCAGCGTTCTGGACTAACTGAAGCTTGTTAAGGTTTTGGCTGGAACAACCAGAAAGCAGATCATTACAGTAATCTAACCTGGACGTGATGAAGGCGTGAACTAACGTTTCTGCATCCTGTAGCGACAGTGCATTTCTTGATTTAGCGATGTTACGCAGGTGGAGAAAAGCTATTCTGGTAATATTGGTAATATGCTCATCAAAGGCCAGACTGGGATCAATCGTGACACCAAGACTTTTTACAGATGTGCCTTGTGCAATTGAGAAACTATCGAGATTAAGAGTAAACGTAGGCAGATTATCCCTAGCAGCTTTTGGACCAAAAAGAAGGACTTCGGTTTTGTCCGAATTTAGTAAAAGGAAGTTACTTGACATCCATTGTTTAATGTCTTTTACACAGTCCTCTATCTTATTAAGTTCAATTTTGTCTTCTGGTTTAGCTGAAATATATAATTGTGTATCATTGGCATAGCAGTGGAAACTGATGCCATGTTTTCTAATGATGGTACCTAGTGGTAGCATATATAAGGTAAATAACATGGGTCCTAAGACAGAGCCCTGTGGAACACCATACTTTACTCTTGTGAGAGCTGATGGTTCACCATTTACCTTAACAAACTCATAGCGATCACTAAAGTAAGATTTGAACCACGAAAGAGTTTTACCCGTCACTCCTACTAGCTTTTCAAGCCTGTCTAATAGAATGGAATGGTCTATTGTGTCAAAAGCTGCACTAAGATCAAGTAAAACCAGTAAGGATATGTTTCCTTTGTCAGCGGGTAATAAAAGATCATTTACAATTTTCACTAACACTGTTTCAGTACTATGGTGAGGCCTGAAACCGGACTGAAATTTTTCACATATATTACTCCTATGCAGATGGGAACATAATTGTTTTGCCACGGCTTTCTCTAAAATTTTTGATAAAAAGGGAAGATTTGAAATAGGTCTATAGTTTGATAGCTCAGAGGGGTCAAGACTAGGTTTCTTTATAGGGGTTTAATTACACCTAATTTAAGAGATTTTGGAACATAGCCGAGGCTGAGAGAAGAGTTTAATATAATTAGAAAGGGCTCAGTTATTTCTGGCAAAACATCTTTAAGTAAACCTGTAGGAGTAGGATCTAGTATACAAGTTGTTGTTTTTGAAGATGAAATAATTTGGACGAGCTCTGTTTGTTGGAGTAAAGTAAAAGACTCCAGCGTCTCTGTTGTGGTTATACTGCACTCTAGATCTAGATTAGGTTTATAGGATGCTGCACTGCAATGCTGCGCATTTTGAATTTTGTGCCTAATCAATTCAATTTTATTATTGAAGAAGTTCATGAAGTCGATGCTGCTGTATGCTGATGGTATCTGGGCTTCAGTAGCTGCTTGATTATTAGTTAATTTAGAGATAGTACTGAATAGTAGCCTAGGATTATTCTTGTTATTTTCAATCAATGACGAGAGATAGGCTGAACGTGCTGACTTTAGTGCTTATCTATAGTCTATAAGACTCTCCTTCCAGGCAGAATGGAAAACCTCAAGTTTAGTCTGACGCCATTTACGCTCTAAACAGTCTGTTTCATTGAGTATGGTCATTGTACCATGGATCGAGCCTTTTCTGCCTTATTCTTTTACTTTTTAATGGAGCCACATTATCTAAAGTAGAGCGAAAAGTGTCTTCCAAACATTTAGTCAGAATATCTAATTCATTGGGTTCAGACGGACAGCTAATTAAGGACGAAAGATCTGGAAGGTTTTCAATAAAGCTATTGGGTGTAGACGATGTTATAGTACGTGGACATATATTACGACTAAAACTGATTTCATATGAGATTAAGTAGTGGTCTGACACTGCTGTGGTCTGAGGAAGGATGGCCAAATGCTTAACGTCTATACCTAAGGTCAATTTTAAGTCTAGAGTGTGGTTACAGTAATGAGTAGGCCCCATAATATTTTGAGTGAAGCCAAAACAGTCTAAAATAGATAGGATGGATGATAAAGGGAAGGGGAGGGATGAAAACGGGTGGAACTGGGATGGGAAAAGTTCCATAGAAAGGAGGAGGGGCTTGGATCAGTAGATCGAGCAATTGCAACATCATTAAATAACGTAACACTACATGTAATGTAAGGAATCAAGTGGTGTTGTCAATATTACACAGGCAGTGAGGACAATACAGTAGGATCAAATAAGCAAATCCCCAGTAAGAACATACACAGCAGAATAACACTAGTAAAGTAGTTAGAAGGCAGAAAAACTGACATACGATCAGCAAAAAAGGCTTAACATGATAGATATAAGATTGATGGAAAAGAGAGGAATACAGGGGAGGTGGAAAGAGAAAAGGGCAAGAGAGCAGAGAAGCTTCAAGTGCCTCGGCCGCATTGGAAGCGCTGGAACCGGGCAGGGAGACCGTGTGTGGCCAGACACATCGAGATCCTAGATCTTATTGAGGGCTCACTAGCCGGAGCAGCAGGAGCAATGAAAATGGATTTATAGGGATGTGGACTGGACTGTACCTGCAGAAGGGAGTTCAGGAGAAAGAACCAAGGTCTGTAGCAAAGTGGCTGATAGCTGCACTAGTGTCACACAACTGACTGCGAACACTTTGTCACGGGAACGGAAGGTGAGGATGTGAATTTATAGGGCGTTAGATAAGAGGAAGGAGGGGTTTCAGCCATGGTCCTCCCCCAAACTTTAGTTGTAAGGTAATTACATTAAACCAAGTGTCTCAGACATTCTTACACCACTGTATCTATTCCAGCAGTGGACAGTAACCAGGACAGAGTGGGTTGGACACTGGCTGGTGCTTCAACGATGAAATATGCAGCAGAAAAAAAAAAGGAGCTTTTTTCTTGCAGAATATTTTCAGGAAGAAATGCGTCACCACTGACACATGAACAGTAGGACTAGAATGAGCTCCAGCTCTACTGAACTACTCCTCTCATAGAAGTGGAGCTGAAATGCTGTGTGCATTATTGCTTTGTGCTTATTTATAGATGTGTGTGTTGAGTTGTGTGTTAGTGTGGTGTGTTTCCTCTCCTCCACAGAGTGTGTGATTGTGCTGTATCACATCCTCCCCCTCAGCACCTGCAGTAGGTCTCAGCTGCAGCAGTGCAGCCTCTGTGTCTCTGACTCTCACAGCTTTTTGTACGGCTCTGTATCACTGTGTCAACGACCAGATACTACTGATGTAGAATTCACCTTGACAATAATAATCTCCTGCATCTTCAGTCTGGACTCCACTGATGGTCAGAGTGAAGTAAGATCCAGATCCACTGCCACTGAAACGAGCTTGAGTTCCTGACCACAATGTAGTAGCACCGTAGATCAGGAGTTTAGGAGCTTCTCCAGGTTTCTGCAGATACCAGGCTAGATGCTTATCATTATACACTGCATGGCTGGTTCTACAGCTGATGGTGACTGTTTCTCCTGGAAGAGCAGATTTCACTGCAGGAGTCTGAGTCACAGTCGCCTGACCTCTGGATCCTGAAATAATATAAGAAGAATTCAAGGTGACTCATAAATTACAAATAATTATAAATATAATTAAATACACATGATACTATCATTTTTTAAAATAAGCCCCTCACATGCACTTGTTTTAGAATGTCTCCATTAAACACCATCATAAAGGTAAATGCATAACAGTGTTCTACCTTGAGTCCAGAAGATCAGAGTCCAGATGAAGATGGTGATCAAAGTCATGTCTGCTGTGGGTGAAGTTTGTGGGGCAGCAGCTCTCAGTCATGAAGTGTTAAACTCACAGGACTATAAACTCTCCCAGAGCACTGAAGCATGTGCTGATAATGCAAAGTCAGCTCTCTCTATGGAAATGACTCTATTGGCTGCAGTGATCATGTGACATTGAGTATAACAGCATGGAAACAGAAGGAGTTCTTCATGGTTCAGTTTAGAGCTGCTGAATATCAGACAGAAGCATGAAAATGTTTATATGTGTTGTTTATCAGCTTCTGTTGTTGCTGAAATGTGTTGAACTGAACACACTGTAAACTGTTTAAGACACAGTTGATCTTCTCACAGCTCAGCAATCTGCCTCTCCAGATCAGTGTAATATTCTCTTAATGTCCAGTGGGGGGCGATCTCATATTGTTCAGTTTAAAGTGTTTCAGTCTTTCTCTTGAGGGATTTTGCAGCTACTGCTGTCAGTCTGTCTCTCAGTGCAGGAGTTTTTGGTGGAGGAACTAAACTGCATGCAGGGAGTAAAAAATACACATTTTATTAAAATACTTTTCTCTCTTATAGCAGAAAAATCTACTTGTATTAATTTATTCATGTTCTTCTTCATTTTTCAAAAAAAACAAAAGGATTTTTCATACATAGCAGCTCTTTAAGTATTTTTGATCTTGTAACAATTTACTTTTATTTAATTTTAAGGTCAAATTAAAGTCAAGTAAATAAAAATTGTTCATATTTTATAATAATAACATAGAATGAAATAATGAATAAATTAGCAATTTGAGAGCAACTGTGTGACCTCAGTTCAGACAAACAAGTTTAAAAAAGTAAAAAAAAAGTAAAAGTTCAGGTTCTCAGAATTTATACATTTATCTGCTGATTATAAAACTCATCAGTATTTAATGACTGATATGAAAAAGCTGTTAGTAAAGCACAGAGAGAGCAGAGTCTTTAGAGCAGGAGGTTTTTGTACAGACACTGAATGAGTTTGTATCACTGTGGTACACTTTTGGTGGGGGAACGAAACTGTCAGTTGGCCGTAAGTAGCTTTTTATTTCTTATAAATAATTAATCAGTTAATAAATTCTGGAAAAGACTATTAATGTACTTGATGTTTTTTGTAAATTATGTAGTTTTATTTATTAAGAACTTTATTGTTTTAACTGTTACAGTTTAGAATAAAGATTTTTCATCAACTGTCTTTCTGAAAATGTTAGTAAAAGCATAAAAAGGCCAGCAAATTTCTCTCAATGTGTGTAAAATTACTCAGTTCATAGTTAAAAGTGATAGATTTGTCTTTATTGCTCCACTCTTCATTCTCATGTTGAGCTATCACCATGTCCATTACTGTAAATGCTTATAGACATGTTAAAATCTACATATAGACTGTGTTTCTCTGATTCATATATTTCAGTTTTATTATTTTTTTCATTTCTTGCTCTTCATGAGCTAAATTTATATTGAATTTAATATGATAAATTATTGAATGCATTAAATTTACTAATTTTATAAAGGAAGTGAAAAAATGTTTGTCTGAAAATTAAATGTTTCATAAATTCAGACTCTTTTTGAGATGAGTAACTGCAGATTAGTCTGAGAGGCAGTTTAAACAGTAAAGCAGGTTATAATTAGAGGGTGAAACATTTTAATGCTCTACTGAACTCAGTTCAGCTCTGTACAAAATAAGAGAAGTGAAACCCACTCTGGTGTGTCTGTGCTGGTTGATTGACACGTGTCCCTACCTGTGTTTGTGTCTCCTAGGTTTGGCCTCTCCCACCCTCACAGTCCTGCCCCCCTCCAGCGTGGAGCTGCAGTAGGGGAAGGCCACACTCGTGTGTTTGGCCAACAAGGGCTTTCCCTCAGACTGGAGGCTGAGCTGGAAGGTGGGTGGGAGCAGCTGGAGCTCGGGGGTTAGCCAGAGCCCCGGGCTTCTGCAGAAGGACGACAGCCTCTACAGCTGGAGCAGCACCCTGACCCTCCAGGAGGAGCAGTGGCTAAAGAACACAGTGACCTGTGAGGCCACCAAGGACTCCCAGCCTCCTGTCAGACAGACACTGAGGAGAGATCAGTGCTGAGCAGTGAGAACCACACCGGGGTTTCAGCTGATAGAGCTCCTCTCACTCTCAAATGAGCTCAAACACGTCTGTGATTAATGCTGAAATGATGATCTGATTATTTGACTAAAGAAAATAAAGAATTTCAATCAACAACACTGTATGTTTTACTGTCTGAAGGTAGATTTTTTTCTTCACTCATAATTGCTTCAAAGTCTTTAAGGCTGTGAAGTTCAGAGAAAGATCTTGCTGTTAATATAGGAGAACATTTCCAGGTACATATAATTATCTACAGAGGCTCACTGATGCTCATGATGGAGATCACTGAGGGATTAAAGTATCTGTAAATTTTCTTTTCAACACAGGTTTTAATCAGGTAAATACAGTGTAAATGAAGGAAAATAAAGAGAAATAAGGAAGTATGATTTCTAATGTTTTGCAGTGATTCTTAAGTATTTGTACATTAATAGTTTTTTTAATGTTTTACTTGTTAATATATATAATCACAGTATTCAGGCCACAGTCTCCTCTGTATCTGTAGTCAGTTCATGCTAGAATGAGGCAGGTTGGTTTTTCATGCTGGTGCTGAAACTGACAAGTGAACTGAAAGTGATACAGAGCTGCTCATTTCTGGGAGCACAGAGGCCTCACTCTATATACAAATCTGAGTTATGTGTACACAATCCCACCATGTTTGCATATGTGTGCATATGTGTGCTCATTTTCACATTAATTGGTGTTTCATTTCTGGAGGAAATAGGGATATGACGTTTCGATATCTAAAGGGTTAATGCTGGCAAATTATTTTATAATTATTTTTTGAATTATGTTTATACATGTTCCCAAGTAGATGTGTTTTACCTTTGACAAATTATTATGTCACATACTTTCTTAATAAATATATGACTTTAATTTTCAGTCTAATTTGGTCCCTCCAACAGAACTACAGAACTGAAACGTAAAGACTGGGCTGACCAGATCATCACTTTACTCTCCTTCTTTACTGGATTGTTCTTTCATAACTGAGACAGATAAATATTTCAGATTTTGACTCATCAGTCCATTAAATCAACATCCAATATTCAATTCTCTTAGATTTTGTTATATTTACTTATTATGTCAGGCAAATTGGAGATGCTAAATTGCCCCTAGTTGTGAATGTGTGTGAATATATATGTCTGTATATCTGCCCTGTGATGGACTGGTGACCTGTCCAGGGTGTTTCCTGTCTTTCCAGCCAACAACCGCTGGGATAGGCTCCAGCTCCCCCCACGACCCAGTAGGATAAGCAGCTTAGATTGTGTGTATCTACGAGAACTTCAAATATTTTACTCCTTTTTATTATGTATTATGTCCTTTCATCTGTGTTCTGTCTTTGACCAAATCAACACCAAGTATATCTTTGTCCCAGCAGTTCTCATTCATCAGGCATGAAAGCTCATTTGTAGAGCAGCCATTTCTTACTGTAACATCTTGATAGTTTCATTGAAAAACTTTTTTTAATATAATGCATTTTTTGTGTTAATTAGAAAGTAGACTGAGACTTACTATTAAACTAAATGATAAATAATATCACAAATGCCTAATATTTTTTATTAAACTGTCAGTGCTACTAAAGGAGTCATGATGGAACTGAAAGAGTCGGTTCTTATTGGTGAGCTGAGCTTTTAGATTTGACTCACTGTAAAGTGTGTGTTTTGTCTGCTTTCCTCTGCATTTTAATGTAAAGCAGCCCTGATAGTGTGATCTTCACAGCACAGCAACAAACTCTACAAAACACATTTTCCCCTCAAAATACACACTTTAGCATGTGGTTGTTTAGCCCACTAATGAGTATTAAATATGTCACACAAAATCAACATAAGGTGCTCTGTTGGATAATATTGCTGCATAAACACACAGCTAAGCCTGTTTCCTATGTGTGATGATGCTGCTCCAGCATGCAGTTAAAGTTTTTTGAGAAGACAAACACTTGTAGCATTTATGTTCACTGCTGTGAGACTAAGGGCCTCTAAGACAGCAATTCTTAACTAAACTGTAAGACTTGACTGCTTTCCAAGTTTGTGTTTGTAGGTTTATTATTTTACTTCTGACATACTCAATTAGCATATATGCATATTATATGTTAATTTTCTTGTCAGACCCTGTCAGAATACTCGCATTTTTATTGCCACACATCACTGAAGTAACTCCACATGTTTGTATTCTTGCATAATCAGGTCAAATTCTCTTGCTCAAGTGCTCCTAAATCAAAAGAGCAAATGTGAACATTTTACTCTCATTGTAGAACCTGCTGTACTGATTGCAGTCACACGTCCATGTAAAGAATTGTAGGATAAACTAAGAGGACATACAAACATTCTTATACCACTGTATCTGTTCCTGGACACTAACCAGGACAGAGTGGAATGTGTTACTGACAAAAGTGTTGGATCCAAAGCAGCTTTCATACTGCAGACCACTTCAGGATGGAACGCTCCACCACATGAACAGTAGGACTAGAATGAGCTCCAGCTCTACTAAACTACTCCTCTCATAGAAGTGGAGCTGAAATGCTGTGTGCATTACTGCTTTGTGCTTATTTATAGATGTGTGTGTTGAGTTGTGTGTTAGTGTGGTGTGTTTCCTCTCCTCCACAGAGTGTGTGATTGTGCTGTATCACATCCTCCCCCTCAGCACCTGCAGTAGGTCTCAGCTGCAGCAGTGCAGCCTCTGTGTCTCTGACTCAGGGAGGTTTTTGTATGACTGAATATCACTGTGTGAATGGGTAAGTTTTATAAGTGTTGTAATGATCCATCAGACAGTAATAATCTCCTGCATCTTCAGTCTGGACTCCACTGATGGTCAGAGTGAAGTCAGTCTTGGATCCACTACCACTGAAACGAGCTGGAACACCTGAGTGTAACTGGTTTGCTAACTTTATCAGGAGTTTAGGAGCTTCTCCAGGTTTCTGCTGATACCAGGACACACAGGCAAATCTGCTGTTACAGTCATTATCAACAGCAACATTAGCATTACAGCTGATGGTGACTGTTTCTCCTGGAGGAGCAGATTTTACTGCAGGAGTCTGAGTGATGACGGCCTGACCTCTGGATTCTAGGATTAAAAAAACAAAAAAAAAAAGGTAAGTGAGGAAAGAGGCAACGTACAAGAAACTCTTCTACCGAATTTGAACTAATTTCTAAAACACAATTTTGAACTAAGTCCTACCTTCAGTCCAAAAGATCAGAGTCCAGATGAAGATGGTGGTCAAAGTCATGTCTGCTGTGGGTGAAGTTTGTGGGGCAGCAGCTCTCAGTCATGAAGTGTTAAACTCACAGGACTATAAACTCTCCCAGAGCACTGAAGCATGTGCTGATAATGCAAAGTCAGCTCTCTCTATGGAAATGACTTGGCTGCAGTGATCATGATACCAGATTATAATAGACAATTTAATTTAATTTCTGTTTTGTGCGATTTTTAATTCTTAGATTTTCTTTAAGAAACTGATTCTGACTATTTGAGGTGTCTTAATGTTCAGCATGTAAAGAAATGCAGGTTCCAGATTGGTTCATGAGGCTGATTAGTGATCATGTTAGGAGTTGATGAGGCATCTGATGGTAGATTATTAAATATTTTCTCTTCAAGATGAGTTTTTTGAAGACTGGGACATCCAGGTGAGACTTTCCTTCTCAGCAAGAGATAAAACAGCACATGCAAATGAACACGATAAACTGTTTTGTTATTTTTTATTTATTTATTTATTTATTTTTAATGAGGAGTCAGACTCAGGTGAGGTCAGTGGAATGAGAAAGAAAAATATATTTGGGTTATACACTTTTATAAAGCTCATCCAGATCCCGAGCTGATTGTTTTGTGTGTGTGTGTGTGTGTGTGTGTGTGTGTGTGTGTGTGTGTGTGGTCTTAATTTAGGATAGAATAAAAGGATAAAATTTCATTTACTGTCTGTTAATCTGTGTCTTTATTCTGCAATCAGCTGCTTTTGTCTGCACTCAAACTGACTGTGTTAAAGAGTAAATATGAGCTCTGGCTCAGATCATGAAGTCAGACTTTGGGTTAATGATCCTGTATGAACTCAACAAAGACTGTAACTTTTAATAATAGCTCTGTTAAAGTGAGGAATGTTTTATGACTGTTGTTAGAGTTTATCAGTTTTATTGAAGATGATAGATATTTTAAAGATATTTCAATTTAATTTCAGCAAAGTGAGAACAGTACAGAGCACTGCAGTGATGTTCACACTCTGGTTAGGTTTTAGAGCTCCAGCTGGGACGTTTAATAAAGAATAACTAGTAAATATGTTTAATTGTTGGTGTTTAATCATGTGTGCTGTTGTTTCTTGTCTCCAGCTGGTTCCACAGTGAAGCCCTCTGTGTCTCTGCTCCCTCCCTCCTCTCTGCAGCTGTCTGAGGGTTCAGCCTCACTGCTCTGCCTGCTGTCTGGATACTCTCCACAGGGGGCGCTGGTCAGATGGACCGTGGACGGCTCAGAGGGGAAGGAGGGGGTTCTGACCAGGTTTATCTAAGAGAAGAATGGCCGTACAGCCGCAGCAGCACCCTGACCCTCAGCAAAGCACTTTGGGAAATGGGGAGGAGTGGCGGTACGGTCGTCCATGACAACGTCAATCAGCCAATCACGTTCACAAAAAGCCACTGTGAAAACTTAAGGCTAGCTCCAAGATAGAGCTGAACATAGAGCTGATTTCCACATCATCTACAAGTAGAGTTAAACTCTACACAGGATGATGTCCTGTCTTTACTCTGTTCTCGTTCCTGTTGCTGTCCTGTGTTCTGCTGAGCTGAAAGAAGCTGAATCTTGACACATCGGCTGTTCTTTTACTCTGTTTAATGGTCAGTTGTGAGGAGAGTATTCTGTGCTGTAGATTCAGTGCAGAGCTTGGTTGCTGGCTTGAGTGAGTTTGGCTGAATGAAGCTGAACTCTGCTGTGAAAGTGCTGCTCTATTCTGGGAGAAAGGGGACGACTAAGTCTGTTAATGCAATCTGAGTTTCACCCCAATGATCTCTCTATCTCTCTCTCTTTCTCTTCTCTCTCTGTAGTGTCTGACTGTTACTGACTTACAACTACTGCTTGTATTCAGCTGGGTGGGCTGGGGAGTGGGTTTCTTCTTATTTTAGTGGCTAATGCTAAACTGTGGGTGTGTCCATGGTGCATAGTCTCTCACACCTCCTTCAACTCTCAGGAATTATAAAAGCTCTGCAATCAGTTGAGTCAGGTTGTAATAAGACTTCAAACAACATGTAAGTGTTCCAGTCTCCAAGACTGACCTGAGCTCCACTGTGGGTCATTCTTGAGAATAAAACATAAAAACAACAACAAGCTAAAAAAGATTACAAACCGTCAAAACCAAGTTTACCAAAGCAAAAAACAAAAGAAAAACTGCCAGCTAAATTTTGTAAGGCTTTACAGGGGTGCATTGAAAACAGAAATATTGGTCGTAGAAAGATATTACAAATAGAAACATTTTAGACAAGTGTGTTTTATACTTCATTTGCCCTTTGCCCTGAAAGCTACACACCATGGTACATACCGCTTATCTGCCAGTATTTGCACAAAGAAGTGATTAGGTTAGCGACATGTTAAGAAAAATGTTCCTTATTATACTAAAAAAACGTCCTTAGTTTCAGAAAGTCTCTACTTAAGGGAATAGAACAGTTATAGGACCAGAGCAAAATACACAGCATCTGACATTAGCAAAAACCCCCGTTTTTATCATCGCAAGAGGTTTACAGGTTTATAAAGAACCTTTTGGGAGTGGCCTGATTGTAAGTTACTGCATGGACTGATATTTTGTGTCTCCAAAACCGGGGTCCAGGCACATGTGGCAGGTGTTCTGGGGTCTTACTGTCTGGATTATGTGTACTAGAGATGAGACAGAGCAAATTCATGTGTGTGGCTCAGGGGACTGGGTTAAAATAAATACATATTCCTAGACGCCAGTGGGATCCCAACCCTGTTCCGGAGGATCCCCTGCCTGCAGGTTTTAGGTTTTAGTCTGCTCCAACACACCTGATACAACGAATCAGGCTAATTAATTAAGATTTTTCTTGAATTTAAAATTGTGTGTTTTGGCAGAAAAACAACAACAACGTTAGGGAAAGTGTGGTCCTCTAGGACGAGAGGGGATCAGGAACCCCACTGTCGAAAATGTAAGGTTTGTGATATTTGGGTGAATTAGGGAAGAGCTCAGGGTAGCATCTTTGTAGTGCATAAAATGGTAGCATCTTGGTATTGGATAGAGCCTCACCAAAGCACGATACCATCAATTCTTCCTCTGTCTTGTTGACTGATTACTGGAAAGTACATACCATTTCAAGGTAAGCTACCTATGTGACCCACTGGGAAAAGCTGTAGTGACATGGAGACTGAAAGACCACTAGCGCAGGATTTACTTCCTACTTTAGTTCTGCTGCCTCCAGGATTTGAGTTTTAGATCATGAAACTAATGTCCGTGTACATAGCCACAGGCTTTGAAACACTGCACGGCCTCCCAGTCCACACACCAGGATCATAGGTGCGCAGACATTTTTTTGATCAGGGAGGGAGATTGAACAGCTTCAGGAGGGCAGCTGGGAGGGGCTGAGGTGGGCTGTGGCACCCCCTGCTGCTCAGTCTGCCTGTCAGACTCCATGGTGGATCACCAACTGCTACTGACCACTGTTTTCATAGATCCAGTTAGACTCTTGGAAAAGTATGCACTGCAGGAACACGAACACAAGACACTAAGCATCAGTCAGTATGAAAAGTGTTAGAGTGAAAAGAGCAGCTTGTAAAAATATACTAGAAGTAAAAGTATTGTTATCTTTAGTGAAATAATGACTGGAGGAGCAAGTAAAAGTTGAGTAGGATAAAAAAGTATCAGGGATCTAAAATCAGAACAAGCTCTGAGTCGTCTCTGATAGAGTATCAGTATGAACCATGGCTTTCAGAGCTAGACCTCTAGGTCAGATCATTAATGTCAAAACTCAGCAGAACTAACAAAATACACAGGATGCGTAGGTGGCTCAAATTTGAGTGTATTAACTTAATTTGAATCAAAAGATCAGTCACAATTGTGAGATTAGCTCCTCTAAGGGGTTTGTAATGTGTGGTGCACATAAAGATTTGATAGCAGCTCTACCTTAGACACAGATATTCAAACTTATAACAGACATCTGATTACGAATAATTTTTACTAGGTCCTGATGTCAGTTACAGTGACTTCTTCAGCTAAAGAAATCTGAAAACTTAATGTCTGCTCTCAATATATTTGGATGAGCCTAAAAGTCTTCATGCTGGAAACAAGACAGATTCCATTTGAAGTATTTCTTGAATGAGGAATATTTGACAACGTTGTTATCATAAGATTATTTTTGTAGGGTTGAACGTACAACTTTTTTCAGTGGTATTCACACCTCGAATATTTCATCTCCTATAAAAAACTGAACAGTTGAGTTTTCAAGGATTTCTTTAGGGACTCCTCTTTTTCAGGACTGAGAGAAAATCCATTCATATCTGGTCCAGATCCTCATATAAAACTTTATAATACAATGACACTCAAGCTGAACTCGTTACAGCAGTACCAGATCTGGAGATGACATAAATAATAATCTAAAATCACTCAAGCATTACTAACGAGTCTAAAGGAAAGAAAGAACAATCGCACATCTAATGTCCTGATTTCAACAGAGTGTGTTACGTGTGTATCCAATCTCCCCTCAGCACCCTGCTAGCAGTTGCAGCAGATCCAGTTGCAGCAGCGACACGTCTCGTGTGTCGCCGACTGGGGGGACGCTTTTTGCTACACCTCCAAAACGAGCTGTGGGAACACCACCACCCTGATCTCATGGTAACTCTGACAGTAATAAACTCCTGCTCTCAGTCCTGGATCCACTGATTTTCTAGAGAATATCTGATCCAGAACCGCTGACATCTGAAACGCTCTGGACACCAGGACTGACGGTTAGAGGAAAATAGATCAGGAGATTTAGGAGTTCTCCAGGTTTGCAGGTGTACCGGAAAAGCAATATATCACTGCCTCTGCAGGTGATGAGTAAACAGCTTACTCCTGGTGATATACAGTCTGCGACATCCTGGAGTACTGAGTCAGGATATTTCTCCATATGGACACGCTTAAGAAAAATGATCAAGAAAAGATTCAATATTATGATTTAGATTTATACAAACAGAGCAAATAATCAAATGGTTAATATAACATTAAAAAAGGTGTTAATGTGCGAGCAGAACTGAAACTTATCTCGATTCACGAGCTACGTGTACCCTGAGTCATATATGATAGATCAGAGCCAGATGAAGATGGTGGTACAATAGTTCATGTTGCGTTGTGTGATTTCTGGGTGA